GATACGCACCACTCTTGGCCTTCTCTTTACAGTCTCAGTGACCTCTGTTTTCACCTTGTAGTAAATCAGGTCGAAGGCAAATTTTGTCTTCCTGCTCCCCCCGGAAGAATGAATCATCCAAACAGAATAAAATGTCACAAGCTACTCTGGAAGCAGCACAGGATTTAGCTGCTGTCTTCACAGGCTAGCACAGATGGGTTGTGGCATACATATAAATCCTCCCCACTTTCCAGAAAATACTCCACCTTTTAATGCACTGGTGGAGTGCTGGTGGACGACAGGTTAACCCTGAGCCAGCAGCGTGCCCTGGCTGCCCAGAAGGCCAATGGGATCCTGGGGTGCATTAGGAGGAGTGTGGCCAGCAGGACGAGGGAGGTTCTCCTGCCCCTCTACACTGCCCTGGTGAGGCCCCATCTGCAGTGCTGTGTCCAGTTCTGGGCTCCCCAGTTCAAGAGTTTGAGTCTGCAGAGACACACACCTACTACCACTGTACCCTAGAAAAGGTTATGCTAATACAGTATCTTCAGCAATTTAAACTGTGCACATTTTTTAATATTTAACTATGCTAATCAGAAATCATACGGCTGCATCTTCAACGTCCCCAAATGCGGACATGTAACACGCTGCTGAATACACCTGGCTGCTTACTCCCCATCCTCTGAATTGTTGTTCTATCTCCCCATAACTTACACCTCGAAACCTAGCGGGGCCCCTTCATTTCTTTATTTGTGAATCCAAAAGCCAAACGTTTCCTCCTACCCACATCCCAGGTTGGTAAAACTGGCTCCCAAAAGATACAAGACAGAAGTACCCCTATTCCATGTGCAAAAACACTAGAATTTCAAAAGTCAGTGGCATAAAAGTCAGGGCTACCTATCTCAGGTTTTTATTCTTTATTTCTTCTGGCACTTTCTCCTAAGTCCTTTATATACAGACTAGAGAACAGGCTTTACAGTCTCGTGACTTCACCCCTACACTAAATATACTTCCCCCCCTGTAAATATATTAAAATATATATATATATATGAGATAAAGGATCTCATTCCCGAGTTCAGCACTTAGGAATAATCAATCAACAGCAAGTTCCTGCTAATAAACATTTACCTCCCACCACCCTACAGACCCTCTATATAGACCCATGCCATGTAAAATGTGCTTTCACATAGTAAATGGATTATAGCATCACAATGTTTCTGCTGAGGCAAATTAAGACTCTTTCGTTTCTCTGGAGCGTCCAACGTAACAAGAAAACAAACTTACTTGAAAACCACAGCCCTAATAAACAATCCAGAAGACGCAGCAAGAGGCAGAAGGAAAACGTATCAACTCTGTACAAACTTGTTCAGTTTATAGGCACGTGTGAGTACACAGGGCATGGAAGAAAGATGGCCTGTATTCTATTTGTGACAGCCGTGACGGAACAACATGAGCAGAGCTAAACAGGAGCAGAAAATGTCTAGTTTGGGGGTTTTTTAAGGTTGGAAAATTGAACTGGAATGTGCCTCCCAGATGTGCCTCCAAGACACGAGCTGAAGCAGCCAGAACTATGATTCAAGAAGCCGCTACTGCGTACCTTCAGCTTCATTATCCACCTGCCAAAGCATTTCCTGGTGACACCATATGAGGGTTCAAACAAACTTGGTACAATTTGCATTTGAAAGAAATTTTCCCTCATCACAGAATCACAGAATGTTCGGGGTTGGAAGGGACCTCTGTGGGTCACCCAGTCCAACCCCCTGCCCAAGCAGGGTCACCCAGAGCAGGCTGCACAGCACCACGGGCAAGCGGGGCTGGCATATCTCCCCAC